ATTTTATTTATTGTTTTTTAATTGGTTATCTCACATGCCACGTATGCACTGTTCACGTTTTAGCATTGAAGATGTTGGAATACTTGAATCACGGTCTGTACATCACTCTTAAGAAATAAAAGCAGTAAATAGTAACCACAAAGAAACATTTTTAAAGTAACTATTTTAAACATAATGTGATTCATAAGTATTCTGAAATCACAATGTAAAATGATTAAATTAAGTTTTACCTTTTTCAAGGACAATATAGTACATCCAAACAGTTTTCAAAAATGATAGTAGTACGATAAAAAGTACTCTAGATTTATTGAACAAACTTCTATTTTGCGATAATCTTTTCTGAATGGCTCAAATATATCTAGTGTGTAGTTTAGATCAAAATAACAACTTCACAAAAAATAGCCTAGCCAACAAAAAGTAGCACAAAGTCCAGAGGAGAGAGTACGGAAAAACCCGAAGGGACACAGGACGGAAGTCAAGTGTCACCCTATATTGAATATGAATACCATATACTAATATTACAATTACAATTGAATCTCAAAATATACGTAGTACAAATCTTAAATCAATAGAAATGGAAATGAATGAAAACAACAAATAGATTTAAAGAAGTAAAAGAAAATTGGTCATTATATAGGTGTTTGCTGTAATAAACATAATACAAAAGTAACATGTTTGTGGAAGTTGGATTGAGACATGTGTGGTTAATTACATAACCTGGGCATGAGAATATAGCAGGCATTTAGATGTATCATGTATGTATGTATGTTATCGGCCCCAGAAATCTAAAAAATCAGCAACCAATTACATTATCAACCAACAACAGAGATCCCAGAAGTTGAAAAGAGAAGAGCCACAGTTTTACTCTAAACAATCAAACTATCCTTCTTGACATTCTAAAAACGCTTCTCCTCGCAGCACTACTACTGGAAGCACACGGCTTCTTCTTGTCCCTGCTCCTTAGCATATACTCTGTATCTTGATGTTGGCGCTGGCGTCAGAGTCTCTCTACGCTCCTCCAGCATCCGGTGTCGCCGGAACCAACTTCCGCCCTCTCTGCACCCCCCTTTTCTTTGCCAATTCTACCCTCACTCCCAGCCCGTAGGTTGTAACCACTTGTCCTCTTCTCTTCAGTCCTCTGTTTTGCCTTTTGTTTTCTTCAACCTCTCATTCAACCTCTCAAACAAAAATAAGAATAGATACGTAGTAATTGAACCCAAGGCCCAAGCCAACTGAAATGACGGAATTGAACAGCCACAATAGCCACAATTGAAAAAAGACACTCCGTAATACATAGTAGAACTTAAATGTTGCATTGATAACTAAAGAGTGCACGTCTGTTTTAACGAGGGAAGTTAACGGATGCATAGGGAAATCAGGGAATAGAAAAGAGTTGAACAATTAGTATAGCTCAAATGTACAATTTCTCAATGCATTGATATTACACCAACACATTTTCTATACCTAAAAGACCCTAACACTCATTCATATTTATAAGATTTTAGATTTAGATTTATTTTTATATTTAACACTAAATGCATGCTAATAGGATGACATTCTAATTATGAATATATTGAAAGTAGACTTTTGGGTGTTTGGAATTTATATGATTCTACTTTTACTTCTTTTTAAAAGCAGAAGTAGAATCATGATCAATTTATTAGAAGTTGATCTCGCTTTGGTTTTAAAAACTGCTTGTAGGATCGACCAATTAAGAGCACATACTTAGAAGTACTTCTGGTTTTGTGCACTTTCACTCAAACACTCCAATATATGGAGTAATAACATTCAAAACACTACAATATTTTGTATAGTATTGTGTATCACGGAGTAGTTTCTAATAAATAATGATTGATGTATAGTACGTAGTATCTATGACTTTAACAAATGTAGTAGAAAATTAATAATGTGTTTTTTTTATACTCCAAGACTACAATAGTACTTTAGTAACTATTACGAGGTTCAATTTTACACCGTAGTGACCGATAAAATATACTGAGAATCTCAGATCAACTTTCATCATATTTTTCAGGGAAAACTGTCAAATTAATCTTCGAAATATATCAGAAAAGTCAATTAGACCCTCCAACTAAAGAAACACTCAATTTGGTCCATCAACTATGTAAAAATGATCAAATTTGTAATCTAGCTTGTTCACTCCCGGTTAACCGATGATACAGGTGACATGGCAGTCCAGCTAGCAGTCTAGCACATGTTTAATACTTTTCCTTGTCCTTTTTAATTCTTTTTTCCTTTTCTTTTTTTACGTTCTTTTTTGTTCACCAGACTCCCCTGCATTCTTTCTTCTTTCTTCTTCACCAGACTCCCCTGCATTCTTTCTTCATCTTTTTCAGCTCCCCCACCGATTCTTTCTTTTTCTTCTGCCAAACCCCCCACCCCCATCTTTCTTCTTCTTCAGCCCAACCCGCCGAACTCCTCCACACCTCTCTCCTCCCTTCTTTTTCTTCTTCTTCTTCAGCCCGTATCTGAGTATCTCCCCTTTCTCTTTTCTCGCTTCTCTTTTTCTGCTTCAGCCCACCCCACCCCTGCTCTTCCCTTCTTCCTCATCCCGGCCTATTATGAGGAGGCAGAGGAGCCCCTTCTCTGTTATTCTTCTTTAGGCCGCCGGAGGCTGGAGCCCTCATTACCCGCCGGTGCTGCCAATAAAGCTCAAATGTGCCATCCTCTCCAACTTTGGTTTTCAATTGGTATAAGATGAACGAAATGGGAGACAGAATGGGGCGGAAGAAAAAAGAAGGGGAGGAGAAGGTATGGTGCAGTGGGAAGAATAGAGGGGAGAAGAAGGTCTGGTGGGCATGGGAGGGAGAAAGATGGAGATTGTAAAGGGGGAAAGAGATGGGAAAGCAAAGAAAGAAAAAAGAAAAAGGAAAAATTGAAAGGCCAAAATAAAAAATTGGCATCTGGACAACAGGTCAACCTGGAGTTAACCTGTTGGATTACAAATTTGATTGTTTTTGCGTAGTTCAGGGGATCTAATTGAGTGTTTCCTTAGTTAGAGGGTCTAATTGACTTTCTGATATACTCGGAGAACCTATTTGACAATTTTCTCTATTTTTTAGGAAAAAAGGTCAAATAAGACCTCGTACTATCTTCAATCCGTCACTTCAGTCCATATACTAAAAGAGTATCATATAAGTACGCATATTTTTAAAATACAATCAACTAGGTCATTTGACCTGCTAATGGCTGCTATAGCAAGTTATGTTTTTAAAATTAAATTAGGAATATTGATAAATCTTACAAAAAATCATATGTATTTGAATAAATAATCTAAAAGTAATCTAAAAATAATATAAAAATAATATAAATGTAAAAATAGATTTTAAAATTTTAAAAACATAAAAATGAAAAATGAAAATTTTAGATGTAGAATATACAAATATTTTTAAAAAATACTAGTACAAAATATTGACTTTCATATTCTGAAAATTTTCTCAACTTTTGTATATATTTCTTCAAATTTTTACAATTTTTTTTGAGTATTTAAATATTAAAACCTGCTATTAGAGGTTAAATTTTAATTGAATGGTCAAATTGATCAATTTTGTAAAGTAAATGTACTTATATGATACTTTTATTCGTACAAGGGCTTAAGTGACGGATTGGTCATAGTAGAAGGGCTTAATAGAGAGATTTACCTTAATATGAGCAAAACATGACTTTTTCCCCAAAATAAGACCAATTAGTTTAAACATTCGTAAATATGACTTTTTATGTGTGATTGGACCAAACTTTTCTTTAATCTTTAATCATAAATAAGTAATTATTTTGTATAAGAATTGTTGAAATTAATTGTTCCATTTTGTTGGCATATGGCCATCTCTGTGTTTCTTAAATGTTACGGAGTATATGTATTTTGCTACTCAAGCAGAATTGAAGTTGATAAAGAGGCCGTTTGGCAACACTCTTTTTCGGCTTATCGGGCTGAAGCCAACTTTTTTATCAAATGCGTAATTTTTTATTTCGCACATTGAATTGTGTAATAAGCAGAAAAAGTAAAGTTAGAGTTACTTTTCTGGTTGTATCGATTGAAGTTACTATAGATGACAATTTTAATTATTTTTACATATATTTTTTTCTTTATTTTATTAATAAAATATATTTTAAAAATAAGTTTTTCTTAAATCAGCAGAATCAGTCAATACAGCCACTTCAGCCAGAACTTCATAAATTTCTGCAGAATCAGCCAAAACAGCCGATTTTGGTGCTACCAAACGGGCTCAAAATTAAAAGAAATTGTGTAGAATCTTAGGGGTAATTATATAAAACAGGATTGGTCTGTCTGCAAATGAGTAAATTACATGACTAATGATGTTTTCTTTTGGATTGTTTTCAGTTCCAGACCAAATTAGATCAGACCAGACCAGATCAGACCATACCAGACTTCCGTAGTTATAAATACACAGAGACCAGACGTTTAATTACCAGACCAAACCAGACTAGACCAAACCAGACCAGGCCGAACCAGAACAGGAAATTTCAGTCCAAAATGGACGTGCATAAGTTAGGATACTAGATTTTAAATTTTCTCAATTTAGAGTGCCAATTTCTTTGATTGGGTTTGAAATTTATTGACAAGATTGATCATACTCCGTATTAAATTTGAAGAAGACAAGTGTATTTAAATCACATGTTGATAATGCCATATTAAAATAGGAAAGATATTATTGATATACTCCCTCCGTAACTTCAAGATCTTCCCACTTTCCTTTTTCGTCCGTAACAAAAAGATCTTCTCATTTCTAATTCTTCCCATCATACCCTCAATAATTCTGAAAATAATACACTATTATAATTATTATTTTTGGATTTATCCTATATTCCATAACATTATTCCACTATCTTCTCATCATACCCTCAATAATTCATATCCTCTTTCACTATTCTTAATCTACCTACTTTTGAAATGGGAAAATCTTTAAGTTACGGAGGGAGTATATTATTGTACTTGCTAGCTAGTTTAGTGTGCATGTTTCACTCCTAAGTTTGCCAACTAATTATAGCTCCATCACTCCCTATATATATGTGCATCTATACAACAAGCTGAGCATCATATTCCAATCCAAACTATTACCAACGTTCTCAAAGTTCAACATGGCAACTTATAACAACATACCTGTGATTCTGAGCTATGTCACAACTACGACCTTCATGCTCATTTTTCTTCTTTCTGTCCCCAATGCTATAGCTAGTGAGGATGAAAACACTACACTCAACACCCAATCTCTCCTTCACCAACTTGAACCACATCAACTAGATTCGGACAACGATATTGATCCCACTAAGTTGACTTTCAAGCTTTCATTCACATGGCCTAAGGGCTATTGCAAGACTAAAGGTTCTGGATGCGAAAGAGCAACCAACTTGCCTGATCGTTTCACAATTCACGGCTTATGGCCTATCTATAGAGCTAAGTGCACCGACTCGACTGAGAAGTTTAGTGTCGATCTGCTGAAAGATCTTCGAGGTCGTCTTGATAGGGACTGGCCAGATTTGAAAAATTATGGGAATCCAAGTAAGTATGGATCTTTTTGGGAGCATGAATGGGACAAGCATGGCAAGAAGTGTGCCTTGTATACTGTGAGAGGCTATTTTAGGCGATCTCTCAATTTGTACGATGCCAGTAACGTTTTACAGCTTCTTCAAAAAGCAGGTAATATACAAATAAGCTAAAGCAACTTAAATACTGCGTAGCAATTATCCATAGAAATCTATAAGTCTATAACGCCTTTTCAGGCTTTAATTTGCCTATTATCCCCGCTTAGGCTTCAAAGGTTTGAATTTTGAAAGGTTTGACCTCGTGCAGTCATGCCTTTTAGTACACTGTCAAGCATTATTAATTCGCAATTTGCATAATACATAAGTGACATGTGCATGCAAAATACATACAGGAAATCCAACAAATGTTGACGGTGTGAAAAAGGCGTTCCCCGGAAGGACACCCAATGTTTTCTGCAAAAACGGAAGTGATGGAAAATATTATTTTTTCCAACTCGAGTTTTGCCTTAACAGCACTGAATTGTTTGAAAACTGTCCAGAGAAACCAGAGAAAACTCATTGCACTCCGGGCAAAGAATTTAGTTATGGTGCTTAGTTGATTACTTTCAATTCTACTAGTATATGTGTGTGTGTGTGTTTGTAAACTTAAATAAATTAAAAAGTCTTGGGATGGCTAACTAAGTCCATGAGGCTAGGATTGGGCTGAAGCTTAAATAAATTAAACAGTCTTTGGGATGGCTAATTAAGTCCATGAAGCTATGATTAAGCAATCCCTGACTTCCTGTAAGGCAGTGGGGCGGGTATGCTGCCCTAAGTACGTAAATAATTGCAACTTTGCATCAATAAAGTGTTGAGTTTGGTGTCAACTGTACATCACGAAGCTTGACAAGCTAGTACTCGTATTATATTCTAGTGTAATTATACACCGTGATGTTTTTAATTGGACTAATGTTTTATGGTCTGCTCCAATATGGTCTGATTTGGTTGAGATTATTTAAGTTTGATCTGGTCTGAACTAGTTGATCTGATCGATTTTGGCGTATGTGCATTTCACAATTGACGAAGTCTAATATGATCTGATATTATATGTTTCACAATGTTTGCTCAGATCTAATTAATCAATTTAAGTAAGGTTTGATGGGATTATTGAAACCAATTAAAATAAAAACATCCTATACAAGAACAACGAAGGAAACAAATGGGATAAGAATATGCTATATGCGGCGAATAAAATTGATCCGAATTCCGTAAACTGATTGGTTGTACTATATGGAGTGACTATTAACAAGTAAACAAATAATTGAATATCAACAAAGCTTATAATATCCGGAGGACAATTCATCATGATCATATACACATGGATAATGTACAGAAAACTCCACAAAGCTGTCAGAGATCCTTCCCGGTGGGAACTTTTTATGAATTTTTTGAGCATGTTATTCATCAAATCTAGTTTATCCATATCAGATTTCAGTTCAAAATTCATTCGGGAATATGCCATATGTTTCAAGAATTTATTTGACTACTTTCCCGATCGAATTTTGAGCTAAAAATTTGGTATGCATAAATTAGACTTGATGAAAAACGTGATCACAAACTTTCATTAAAAAATCCACGAGCAAGGGCTCTTATGACTTTGTCCGGAGATTCCTGTACATCAATATGTACGAACGGGACTCTCCTTTTGGGGACGCAATTTTCTTACTCCAGCCACTTGAAACGTATGATACATTTTCTGAGATTGCTCAATCACGGAGGAAACTCGACAGGTTTCAAAAGATAAAATGTATTGGTCCCGAAAATGTTCGCCAATTTGACTTTTCCTTATCAATAACAATCAACTTTGACTAATGATATTTTCAATACGGAAATGTTTTGAATACGAAAATTATATCAAAATGATCCTTATTAAAAATATTTTCATAAAAATATACGTAGTAAAATTTAGAAATTATACACAAATATAATAATTAAAATCATTATCCAAAATTTGACATCATTGACTAAGAAAAGTCAACATGACGAACTTATATAAAACATATCAATTCAGGACCCGAAAGAAAGATTAATTATCAATTCAAGACCCGAAAGATGAAGCGTATCGCTATAGGACACGAATGATGAAAAGCTATCAATTTAGGACCTAAATTTCATAGGTTTTTTATTTATTTAACTTTTTATTAATTCCACTACTAATTTTTGATAAACTTTTCTTCACAAAAGTTTATTTTTTTTTGAACGTTCACAAAAGTTTATTAGTTTAATCAAACTAAATAATATTTAAAATTTTTAAACTAAAAAAAAATATAAAATTTATGACAACTTAGATCATAGATTGATAGTTTTCAATCATTCAGGTCCTAAATTGATAATTTTTCATCATTCGGATCCTATATCGATGCACTTCATCCTTTTCAGGCCTCGAATTCATAATTCGTCTATTTTTCGAGCGTGAATTGATAAAATTCCTAAATGTTTTTAGTCGGCAATATTATTCATATTTCGGGCAAAAAAAAATCTCATGTGACACTATGCATAGGCTAGAGTCCACCGTACAATTATTGAACTGAAACCGATATGAGGGACATGTCCACCCCTTATCTGATCAATGTGCCTGAAGAGATTAAATTATTGAACTCTAACGAGCTTTGATTTTGTAAAAATTGAAAATAATAATCTCAACTATTGCTGGTCCGCCGATAATAATCCCAACTATTGATTATTTTTGTATAATTCCAATTATATGGATCGTGCGCCACTAAGGTCCATGACCAGATATTATCTCATATAACAAGTGAATTTTAAATAGAAATTAAGCGTAAAAATTAAAAGTTGAGATTATTAATAGGGATTATTTGTTATATCTCTTCTCATCCATTTTAGAAATTACACAAATTTAATTATAAGGACCATTATTGGCGGAAGGTCCCTAAAGTTGGAATTATTCTGAAATAATCAATAATTAAGATTATTATGAACGGACTGCCAATAGTTTAGATTATTACTATCAATTTTTCTCAAAATTTTTCAAACGGCCCTAATATTTTGGGATGCTCAAAACATGAAATGATCTCTAGTACGTATTGGAATGACATGGTGCCAGCAGTTTCTTTTTATTTTTTCGCAAATAGAGCACCTACTTTCATCAAAGTTTGGCCTTACATATGTCGTCCTTATCTATTTTTGCTCATGCTCTCATGCTCTCATGCATGATTCAAGCGTCGGAAAGCGTGTACACTTTGTTAACTGTGGAAATTAAACATCAAATATACAATTGATTAGTGAAAACATTAATAGATTTAACATTAAATGTTACGTAGTAATAGAATGAAAGTAGGCTAGACTTTAATTTACCGAATTCATTCTCTACGGATTACGGAGTAATAACTTTCAAATTGATGATATACATATGAGTAATTAAAATGATGAAAAGGAAAAAGAATGTGATACTTTGTACTTTAAGACTACAATTAGTAACTCTAATTTTTTTGAAGATATAATAGTAACTCTATTAACTACCCCTATTTTGATGTGAAATAATGACTAACTAACAAAATATCCAGAGTAACTTTTGTCACATTTTTTGTTTATAAACTTTTGGACATATGTATGGGTAAACTTCCTTTTCAATGTCTGCGCGATATTGATTATTAATCCGCATCTTGGTATCAATGTTTCACGATTTTAGAAAATAGAAAGTGTGTATTTACATTGTAAATAATTGTGATATTAGCTAACGTAACACTCTCATTCATCGGAGCAAAACGTGTAGTTCTTTAATAAAAAAAGGACTATAAAATTAGAGAGAATTTGACTTTGCACCCATTTTTAGTTAATATTAAACTTTTCATTCCATTTTAAGAATCATTAATGTGTGCACCCTATTTAGCATAAAATCATTTGACTTTGTACACTCATTCCTTCATAATATTTGGACTTATGGTTGCATACAATAATTATTCCGAAAATAAGATGCAAAATTTAATACTATGTATAACTTAAAGAGTGGGGTGCAAAATAAAATTCTTCCTAAAAATATATGGTTATATATGATTATCAGAATTTGTATTCAAATAAGGAGTTTAAGGACAATATATGATTACTTGAATAAGGAATAAAATATTCATCGCTCTCTTGCTCTATTTATTTGCCAAGTCATTTAAAAAAGGTTATTCAATTTAATTTCCTTTACAGAAATATGTATGGGTAAACGACCTCCTTTTCAATGTCTGCGCGATATTGATTAATCCATCTTGGTATCAATGTTTCACGATTTTAGAAAATAGAAAGTGTGTATTTACATTGTAAATAATTGTGATATTAGCTAACGTAACACTCTCATACATCGGAGCAAAACGTGTAGTTCTTTAATAAAAAAGGACTATAAAATTAGAGAGAATTTGACTTTGCACCCATTTTTAGTTAATATTAAACTTTTCATTCCATTTTAAGAATCATTAATGTGTGCACCCTATTTAGCATAAAATCATTTGGCTTTGTACACTCATTCCTTCATAATATTTGGACTTATGGTTGCATACAATAATTATTCCGAAAATAAGATGCAAAATTTAATACTACGTATAACTTAAAGAGTGGAGTGCAAAATAAAATTCTTCCTAAAAATATATGGTTATATATGATTATCAGAATTTGTATTCAAATAAGGAGTTTAAGGACAATATTTGATTACTTGAATAAGGAATAAAATATTCATCGCTCTCTTGCTCTATTTATTTGCCAAGTCATTTAAAAAAGGTTTTTCAATTTAATTTCCTTTACACAAATAAAACATTGATTCATACGGAGTATATTATTATTTTCGTTTTATTAGCAATGATCAACCACGTAATTTCCATTTCAATTCTATCATTTCTTGTATCAATAACCTTGTTTAGCTAATTTGTAGATTGGTTCTCTGCATCACTGGGAAGCTTTGAACTCATTAGACGACATAGAGCCATAAAGGTATATATATATGCACGAATTGTTTTTTCATAAGCATCTCCAACCTTATTCACATGAAAAAACACACGTTCCCAATTTTTTCAATGGATTATTGGTGATTAAAAAAAGGAGGGGAAAACTATCAAATAAGCCCTCAAACTTATAAAAAAAAGTGCAAATCACCCGTTTTATAGGAGTCTCTGTCCGGCCGTCGCCATTTGGGATGGTTCCTGATGGACTTTTTTGATGAATTTTTTTGAGCATCTTCTTCATTAAGTCTAGTTTACCTATACCAAATTTCAGCTAAAAAATTCTATGGGAAAGGAAGTCAAATGATTTTCTGAAATATACTGCGCTGTTTAACTGCGCTGTTATTTTTCAAAAATTCATTTGACTGCCTTCCCGATAGAATTTTTAGCTGAAATTTGGTATGGGTAAAATAGACTTAATGAAGATGCTCAAAAAAATTCATCAAAAAGTCCACCGGGAGCCTGCCAAATGGCGACGGGCGAACATAGACTCTTATAAAGGGGGTGATTTGGACTTTTTTTTGTAAGTTCCCAAAAAGCAATGATATTGTCTAGAAACTACATTCACGTAACTCAGCAAAGAGTCAAAGATTCCGGAACCCTAAACAACAAAGATAAGTTTCAAGTAATCTTCCGGTCAGGTATACCTAGCCGGAGCCGCCGTCCGGCCTCCTCCTTTTGGGGGCCTTCCCGGTGGTATTTTTTGCTCAAATTTTTTGTGTATGTTCCTCATCAAGTCTAGTTTATCCATACCAAATTTCAGCCAAAAATTCAATCGGGAAGGTAGTCAAATGATTTTTGCAAGTTAACTGGTCCGGAAAATACATATTCCGGACCAGTTAACTTGCAAAAATCATTTGACGACCTTCCCGATTGAATTTTTGGCTGAAATTGGATATGGATGAACTAGACTTAATGAGGAACCTACACAAAAAATTTGAGCAAAAAATACCATCGGGAAGACCCCCAAATGGAGGAGGCCGGACGGGGGCAGTGGTCAGGTATACCTGACCTGAATATTTCTCATTGTTACTATACCTACTTCGTATTACATTAACAAAATCGTTTGACACGGCATTATTATGATTTATGTGACGTTTGTCAAATCCTTGTACAAAATAAGTTAATTTGGATAGTAAATAAGTTATGATAGCAATTGAAAAGATATATGCACATAAACAGATAAACTAAGACCAATATAACAGAAAAGTATATACTAGTATGCACCTTTTCAAACTTCAAAGTCGTGAAAAAGTAGTAAAATTGCGCCACATTTATAAAAAGAAATCAATACTACATATTAAACGACAGTATGACACTCCTGAAATATGAATGAGTTAGAATTAAAGACCTTTTTTAGACAACCAAAATAGAGAAGGGAAAACGTATCTTGGGACATACGAGTAATAATAATTAATAAATCCATGAATTTCTGAAATAAGAATACATGAGAAGACCTTTTTGGGACAGTAAAGATAGAAAAAGATAAAATATACTCCGTAATAGTATAATACGACTAACCTTTTTGAGATACAGGGGCAATGATAAATCCATTACAACATTAATATAATAAATCGTTTACAATATGAACATTAATCAGCAACCCTTATGGTTTTGTAATCCATTATTAATGCTTAAAGCAATTTGAAGCTATATGACCAATGAACATCATTGTTTTTCCTACCGACTTCCCGTACAAAACAAACATAATCTTTCTCATCTTCATCTCCCTCATCAACATACTGATGATATGATGAAGGCATGAGACCTTTGATCGAGATTAGGCTTTCTGTATAACCATCAGCATTCATGAGCGTGCCAAATCGGCTAGTACGCGTGAGTTGATGGGTTAAATGGTCATAATGGTACACCTCTTCTGTACGCATTTCCTGTTTTCGCACATGAAGAAGAAGTTCATGGTTACTCAACCAAATATTCACTGGCCACACAAGTCCATCATCCGAAAATGTAAAAGAAAAGTGCTTGTGCCACAACATTTTCTCATCATCATCATTATCTCTGTTTAGTACCCAAATGTCGATGCCGTTAAAATGCTCATCCTTTTTAAGGTCAACACTAGGAAAAGAGGAACAACAAAGGCAAGCTTGACATCCACTTGAGCTTAAGATATGATGCTGTCGCCAACTGTTTGGATATAAACATTCCGGCATGGTTACCTCCTGAAAGACCTCATCCACCATGTCAAATGACAATAATCCCTGGACTGGCATTGTAGAATATTTAAGATGACCCAACCAATTAAGAACTCTTCCATTGGCATTCAAAGTAGCTTCACTTGTTAAGGTACTAAACTCCACAAGTGAGCCCAGGGCATTCAAATTATGCCAACAACCATCTCGGAGAGAGTACACATCGACCTGCCAAAAATCACGACCTGCAAAAACTGAGGGTGGGTGAGCTGCCACTATCTTATAGTTGTTATTTATTGGATCGAACCCAAGCCCAAGTTTCGGAGTCTCTCTGGTTGCAAAGTTGGGGGGCAGTGGCAAAGGCAGCACCTCTCCGATCGCAGGGTTACAAAGCAAAACTCTAGCCCCAGAATTTGTAGACGTAACATAAGCACACATGATACCATGACAGAAGTTGGACACACATGCATCCACCCGTGGTCCATACTCAATCTTCTTCACAAGACGAAACGTTTTCTTTACCGTTAAATTGTAAATAAACATCCTCAAAGTTTCATCTGTTGTATTAGTGCAACTTCTTCCATACTTACCAAAGTAGTCAACTATGTAATCAACATTGTCCATCAGTGTATATGATGATGGCAGCCTGGTTCTTGTGAGATAATGCCTCAAGGCAAATTGAGGGTTGTGTCTAATGAGGTGAAGCCAAGATTTACACACAATAGTGAACCGTATTAAGGAGTTTACGGGGAGGTGGATAAGGATCTCAATAAGCACTTCCATTGGCATATCATAGCCATTATCACTCGTTTCCATTTTATCTCCCATTATTATTTCTGTTTTGCAAAATGACAGTAAGTAGAACTAAGTAATGAATAAATAACAGAATGTATATATAAACATCCCTAAAAAACAAACATGTGCATATTATTGAGCTGGAGATGTCAAAAAAAGAGTCAGGACTCAGGACTGCGGAATAATGAATGCTACAGGAGTTAAATAGAATACACTTTCGCTGTGTCCAGAATCTGATAGTAAACTTGATGCTCTATAGTAATACCTATCAGTTTTAAAATACTACTCCCTTGTACTCCTTGTAGTATGAAAATCTAATTCTTATAGAATGTTTCGATTCCAGATCTATTTGAGGATAACCATAAGATTGGCCAAAACCTAAAGAGATAAATCAATTGCTCAGTGAAAATTGATCTCCTGAAGGTGTATAAAAATTTGGAGTATGAAAATTTAGACCCACAGAGTGAAAGAATAGGGTTGAACAGGATTTGATTAAACAATTACCAAATTGCAATCGTCGCAGGGGGAGTTGTTGCCTTGGAATGTCTCAACCTTACACCATGTGATGCCTAACTTTGAATATGCGACTAGGAAGTAAGGTGTCCCAAAATTTGTATTACGTAAGACTTGGTGGGGCATTGCAGAATTTTAAGAATAATGAGTTCCTTATAAAAAGAGATTTATCCAAAAATATTATTAAAATAAAACTTGTGGACAAAGTGTGACTAAAGTGATAATGAGTGCATTTTTATAGCCACTATAATATAAAGTTTGAGCATAATTATAATCACTGAGAGTTACTAAGTCACATTTTTGCATTTTTGTCCACTATTCTTACTTTGGTCATATTCCAGATATTACTTTTTATATACTCCCTCCGTCCCGAAAACAACTTCCCACTTTCCTTAAATGGATGTCCTAAAATTAACTTCACATTTCAATACTTTCCTTATTTGGCAAATTATCTACATCAAAAAAGTGATAAACAGTGCCAAACAGTGTTTAAACAGTACCAAACAGTGTTTAAACAGTACCAAACAGTGCATTCTACAGTAAAGTCAAATTTATTTCCTAAAAGTGTGTGAAAGTCCAACCGGGAAGTTGTTTTCGGGACGGAGGGAGTACTACGTAACCTATTTTCTAAGAAAATACCTGACATATCTACTATAGTACTACACAACCTGTAGTAGTGTAGCTCTACCCCTCTTCAGTGTATCTCAGATTCTAAGAAACGTGCAAATAGATTGAATCCCTTTCCCTTATTCCCTGAAGAGGTACTGATTCAACACCCATCAAAGCATTTAGGTTCCCCAATTAGGTGAAAAGAACACTTAGGCAGAGTTTTCCTAACGGGGACAACTCAAACCAACAACAAAGAATTTTAGGTGCGGCTGTGTGTTGTTATTTTTAGCAAGGCCTTTGTTTGGTAAAAGTTGCAGATTTGTTAGAATTTTATTTTATTTAAAATAAAATACTCAGTACATTCGAACTACATATGATTGAATTTCCATTTATTGGGATTAAGATGGTTTCTTAGTTATTAACATGGAAGTTCTCGGGAAAGACCGAAACAGTATATTTTTGTTTCTGAAAATCTATGGAAGTTATTTATAAATTCTATTTTATTAAATGATGGTGTTGCCCATTTCCCGTTTCCCCATGATTCATGTGTTTCCGTGAAATATAGGTAAATACGTAATAATTTTTATTTTTTCAAGCCAAATTGTTGGTAATGTTTGAAAAAAATTTAGTGATTCCCTATTTCGTTGTTTTGTTGGATTCATTTGGCATTGTTTGATACGTTTTGTATTTTGTTTATGTTTATAAGTAATGAACACGTCCATGAAGCCCTAAACTATATTAGTATTTTGTTTTCTTCAATGATTATATCTTGGATATGGTAGGGAGTTTTTTAATCTAATTTTGAGGTCAAAAGTGAATACATCTTAAACATCAAAACTTTAGACGAAAATTTACCTAGAATGAAATATTTCACCTTTTCAGTTGTTATAAAATGGAGGAAAACTAACAGAGATATAAGAGAGAGATTATGTTATGATTTATGAATACTCTTAATATAGTTGTTCTTGAAATGTGTACTTACAAGATGAGAAACTTTCTCTTTATGGGAGAAAATTTAATCTATCGATGTTATAGATGACTAAATCAACTGAATTAACCATCACTTCCAGCCTAGCTGGTTGTGAGGTTATGCTTGCAATCTTGCATAGGAGAGGTCTCGTGTTCGAGTCCCACTAGCACCAGTGGAACTATGCTCCCCCAAAAAATCCTTCAAGTGGTAGGGCCAAGTGGTGTATACTAACCCGTAGGGCCAAGCCAAAGTTGGGTTTCTGGGGTAAGGGGCCGTGAAAGCGGTGGAGCTAGTCACTATAAAAAGTTTACCCACACCTTAGTTTTACCGGTGGGCGTAGCTCAACTGGTAGCGAGGGAGTGCCACAAGGGTTAGGTTTCGGGTTCGAATTCCGGCAACTACGATGAGGGGTTACTATGCTGAAAAATGCATAGGGCCTCTGCAAGTACCGGGGACAGAGCCCCACTCTCTATCTATCATATTGTGATTATAGTCCAATTTACATCCTCCCATCGTGCCGTCCGGTCGGTGTTGGGGGCCCTCAGGGATGGGGTGTCATCCTTTTTTTTACTAAATCAACTGAATTGTTGAAAACAACTCATTATTAAATAAATAAAATATTATTTGAAAAGAGTTTTGACAGTCATCCTTAGTAAATTCAGCCAAAACTAACTAAATATAACCTTATTTATTTCTGTTGTTGCACAACTCATCGGCTGATAAGTTAAAGAATTGGATTACCAAATTAACTATAAAGATGCACTTTCTAAAACCTTGATGAAGTATATTTTATCAATATTGATTAACTAAAAGCTACTAATATAGTAAAATTCTATAAAATATGTCACATTTTGTCTAGCATCTTACTTTTGGTCAATATATATATGTGTGTGCGCGCGCGCAATTATATCTTTAAAAACAAGTATAGAATACGGTAAACAATATGGCATCAAGCATCTTGAAAAATATTATATCCTTAGAGAATGAATTTAATACTACCTTTGTCAGTTTGTCCCATTTTAGTTAGCACTTTTTGACTTTTCCGGTCAAAGATGGTAAACTTTAAGTTAAATTTAACTTAATATTTATGCAAAATTTAACTTTTTGTCTTTAACCAATTATTTTAACTAATATATTTATGCAAAATTTAATAATTTTATACGTTTATGATAACATTTTTGACAAAGAACATTTTTATATAATTTTCATATTATCAATACTTCTGTACATAAATATATAATTGGTCAAAGTTAGAGACCATCGACTTGAAAAGTCAAGGTTGGCTAATTAAAAAGGGACTTAATATTACTTTCAATAAAATGAAAAGTAGATCGTCCTTCTATAAACACTCATCTTAAATTTAAGATTTTTTAATAAATTGTACATTTGATTCTTAGTTTCCAAACCATTTAATAAAATTTACACACCTTCCTACTCTTGAATAATGCATGAACGGAAATATATAATTTATATCAGGCCTAATTTTGATTAAAGTAGCAAATCTTTCCGATGAAAATGGGTTGGGAGTTGGGACCTGTACCTTTGAGATGGAATAGCAAAGAAAAAAGGAGCTGCTGATCTACTGTTGCCAAATGCAAAGGACAAAAGTGCAGCTGTCCATGCCTTATCTTTATCACCCCTTTGCAATGTTGAATATGTGAAGGACAAGGGCATTAGGTATTAAATGACAAATGTTGTTACTACACGATAAGTCATTAAGTTGTACACAACATTTTACACGACAACTTTTTTAGTTTTGTGAAGAGAATTGTTTTTTCACACCGACAATTTTTTTTTGTGCCACAAACAATAATTATTGGTAGTGCAAAAAACAACTTCTATACAAAACGAAAAAACAATTATATGAGCCAGACAATTAGACTGACGTGTAAAATGTTTTGTACATGAAGCATGGTCCATCTTAAATAGGAGAAAAAAGGAACTTTGCAAATTTAGAGTATAGTCGGGGCCTAGGCACGCCTAGGCGTGAGGTGATACGAAAACTTCGCATGGTGAAAAGACGGATTTTTTTAAGATGATTTTCTTAGTGAGAATTTGACTTTGCACCTCATATTTTGAGTGATAACTGATATTAGATTTTGCACCCCATTTTCAGAATTATTAATGTATACATCATGAACCCAAAAGTTGTGTGGGAATAGAGTATTAGGGTGCAAAATCAAACGACTTATAGTGAATTAGGTGCATATATTAATGATTTTAAAAAGAAATAATTACATAAATATGACCAAAATAAAGATGATTTACAGAAATATGACTAATGACTAGAGTAGTAATGAAATCATAGTAATTCATGTTTAAGTTTTGAGCTTAAGTTACCACAATACCACATTGTAGTAATGAATAGTCATATTTATGTAAATATGTTCTATTTTAGTAATATTCTTGTAAAAAACCCTTTTAAAAAGAGGGTGCAAAGTCAAATTCTCCCTTTATAGCTTCATACAAAGAAGTTGATTAAGGATTTTTTACTTGGACTGTAATATGTCCCAGACCATAGAAGACCAGACCAGATCAGACTTGGATAGTTATAAAAATACTAAGAGACCAAACATACTCAGACCAGACCTGTTCAGACCAGACCAAACCAGACCAGCAAATTACAGTCCAAGTAAAAACATCCTAAATTTTACAAAAAACCAATTTTAAAATCATGCTATATATGAGATCTAATATAACATCCAAGTCTTAATCATAAAAAGTTTTGGGATCAGCTAATATGAATCTATAAATGATATCGGAGGCCAAAGAGAAAAAAAAATATAAGGAGTAATAAAAAGCAACAATATGTCATTCATTATTTGCACTTTTTATACATTAAAAATTATATGTATTGAATAAAATAAAAGTTAGATTCCATCTTGTGTGATATATTTTAGGACATTTATTCTTTTCACTTCATATATCAGTATAAAGTACTCTCTCCCTATTGAAATGTTTGCTACAATAGAAAGTGAATTATATTAATAGAGATGTGGTAGGCATAATGAATAGTGTAGGAAAAATATGGGAGATCGAGACGGAAAAAACAAGGATATTTGTGTATTTAAAAAAAAAAACTTATCAAAAGGAGAATAGTAGCAAATATAAAGAAAAACAAGGGTATTTGAGTATTTTAAAATGCATCCCAAAAATACAAAGTGTAGCAAATATTTCAATAGGAAAAGAGCAGTAATTCTCAACAAAAATAATATTTTCTGGTTCCAAGCATGTTTCTACCGGGTTTCGCTAATTTCCCATAAAAATTTTATGATGGGAAAAAAGTATACAAAGCGTTGACGCTCAAGAGTAGTATATAAATTAGGGAAAACTGTCAAATAGGTCCTTGAACTTTCACAAAAAAAGTCAAATAAGTCCTAGGCCGTCGCGATTTGGGGCGGTTCCCGGTGGAAATTTTTTATGAAAATTATTGAGCATCTTATTCATCAAGTCTAGTTTACTCATATCAAATTTCAGCTAAAACTTCAATGGGGAACGCATTTAAATTAATTCTTGAAGATAACTGCACATTTTTTAGTTTGAGTGAACTAGACTTGACGAATAAGATGCTCAAAAATTTTAATCAAAAAATTCCACCGAGAACCGCCCCAAATCGCGACGGCCGGACAGAGCTTCCTATATAAGGACTTATTTGACCTTTTTATGAAAGTTCGAGAACTTATTTGACAATTTTCCCTATAAAGTACTCTGTATATCTTATAATTTCAAGGTGTTCAATAGGCTTGAGTTCAAACCGAGCTGAATAACTACTATGCTCGAGCTCGACTCAATTAGTTATTCAAACTTAAAAATCGGCTCGTGTTCGTGTTCGAAACACATTAAGCTCGGCTCTTCATAATCGAGCTCGAAATCAATCAATTCAAAATCGTTAAGAGTCCTAATCCCGCCTAGGTGTTTTTTTAAAAAAAAATAATCCCGCCTAGGATTTTAAACTTGAGAAGGCTGATTTTAAGTGATAGATTGTATTTTAACTTAATTGACTATTATGAAGACATGTACTTGCCTAGGGCCGGTAGTGAATTCAGGTTCCAATTCGTTTTAAAATAATGAGTGAAATTGCAGGGGCCAAACAATGAATCATGAAGGAAAAATGTCTCTTTACTTAACAAACCGAACTGGTCAACTGCAGAACCAGTCAAGTTATCGGTGAGGCACATGCTTGAATCTGAAAATAGCAAAATCTGGGTCAAAATTGGATCAACCCAGATTAATTTAGACCCGATTGTACCTTTATTCTTACCTCAAAACTGAGATCGTCATTCCTCGGGCTAGGAAATGAAGATTGTACAGGGGGCTAATGTTTTCATTTCCTAAAAAAGACTAATGTTTATTTCGTAAAAAAAACTCATCTGGCCAGTTCGAACAACTCCTAGATCTTCTTTTATAATTTTCCTATTATATTCTGTTCTGAAGACTCTACAAGAATAAATAACATCAACAGTTCAATTAAAGATAATATTGAGCAGAGCTTCGAAACAGGCATACAAGAACCCTTCTCACAATATTAATTTATCAACAACTACTAATAATCACTACAAAAAAAAAAATCAACAACTACTAGTAATCATTATCATATATTCCGGAAGGAAGGAGGAGAGGGATGTGGGTATAAGAAGAATTGAAAAAGAAAATAGAGCACCGTTTACCTTCATGAACATGGAGCAGCTGAGCAAGAGTCTTCGATCTGGAAGGAGGAGCAGCTGAGCAAGAGTCTTCGATCTGGAAGGAGGGGTTTCGAGGCAGCCGACAAACCGAGTGGATGAATATATTATAGTAGTGTTTGGGTTGCTTAAAAAAAGTGTTTTTCCGGCTTTTGGTTTAAAAAAAGCTAAAAAGAGTGTTTTCAACAGCTTCTGCTTAAATTAATCACTTAAAAGTTAAAAGCTGGAAGCAGGTGTAAGGGTGCTTTAAACTGCTTTTCACTTTTTCTATTACACAAAAAGTACTTATTTTACCAAACACTACCAACTTTTATTTTTTCAAAATCACTTTTTTCTCAAACACTACCAACTTTTACTATTAATCACTGTTCCCAAAATCACTTTAAAAACTCACTTTTTTAAAGTTGAGGTGATTAAATAAAGTGCAATTGCAAACGTAGTACAAGGGTCTGTACTACGTAGTACAAGGGTCTGTTTCAGCTTCTCCTTTTAAAAGGTGCTTTTTTTAATGAAATGGAGAGAAGTGATTAAATAAAAGTTGATAGTGTTTGGAAAAACAAGTGCTTTTTGTGTAATAGAAAAAGTAAAAGCACTTTTGACCGAGAAAAATAGAAGTTGTAGTGTTTGGTAAAATAAGTGCTTTTTAAAGCCAAAAGCTGAGAAATGCTTTTTTAAAGCGTTTGCAAATCAACCCCAAGTCAATTTCGGATCTGAGAACTGCAGCCTGCGGGCATAATAGTAGGGGTGGCCAGCATCCGGATTCAAACTCCAAGAGTATCCTGTATCCCGTCCGGATTAAGTTGGGATCCCGACATTAAAATCCCGATTAAGTCAGGATCCCAATCGGGAATCCCGCTAAATCCCGACATTGAAGTATCAAACATAAAATTATGTAATTTCTTTAGTTAAACATTAACTTTGATATTTAGTGGTTTCAAGATTATTCTTTGTTCTCCAAATATCTTGTGGTCCGATGGCATCACTGTGATCTCCCAAAGAGGAGGTCACATGTTCGAATCTCATTCTAATCAAGAATGTTGGCATTTACTAGAGCAGATACTATAATAGATTTAGAAGAATATGCAAAAAGATTATTCTTTGTTCATTGTTATACCATAATTTTTGAATAAGCCTGGGTGAAACTTACTTCAAACAGTATATAAAAATCACTAAAGAAGGATGTGTAACGTATATTATTTAAAATTCAAAATGAAGTAGACTCATTGAGAAACTTTGTGACCAATGAATATAATGTATAAATACATATTATGATTATTTACTAAAGAAAGAAATATTAGTCTCGATCATGATTTTTAAAGAGTTCATCAGAACCGCAAAATTTGTAATATTGTTGTGATTTAGATTGTCGGGATCAAGAATAATCTCTATTTAGTTAGGATCCCAAATATTCATTTTCGGACAAATGCCAAATAATTTTAGAAGTTCGATATTGTAAGATACTCGTAGTAAAAGATTAATCTATGTAAGGAAAAGTAATTAAAAAATATATGCAAATATTTAGATACATATTCATTTTTTATAAATGAATATTCATTTTTTATATATTCATATATAATTATATACATGTATATATACATATATTTTTTTTATTTCTATATATATATATATATATATATAATGTCGGGATGTCGGGATTTCCCCGATCCCGGCTTTTAAAAAAAAAAATTCTGGTCCCGTCCCGACTTAGTCGGGATCGGGATTGTCCATATCGGGATTGTCAGGATCGGGAGTCGGGATTTTTTCCCAGCCCTACATAATAGAAGGGGAAGAATTTCCAAATTCCTCCGAATTTTGCATCAATTCTATAATTAGTCCACGTCTTTCACTTTATTCATTTTTGTTACCTGAATATTGTTTTCTTGACGATATGTACTCCTTTTCCGGTAGTAAAAATGTCCAGAGATAGACCGAAAATGGTCAAAAAAGCAATAGTCAAGTATCAAAAATGGATAAAATTAAAGACGATGACTAAATATGGAAATGACACAAAACTCAGAGGACCTAAAATGGAACTAATTCTAGAAGGGGTAAAGGGGACTTTGGAGTAGGCAAAGCTAAAATAATTCTCATAAATATCAGTTCTAAAAGTAAGCATAAGTAGTAGCGGTGGGCAAATGGGTACTCGAACTGCGGGTCGGGCCGGGTAATATAGGTTCCAGTGGATTAGGGTCGGATCCTAATTTTATCCGGTGTATTAAGTTGCCAGAATATTTCGATACAAAAAAGGTTGCCGGAATAGTTCCACATTAGTATGTTTAATCATCATATACTCGACTATAATTCTCATTTCCATTAAAAAAAATCATATAAACCTTAAATTTCAACGTCTTTATGGCTTTATCCAGTCCTCAACTCCTCGATCGATCGAGCTCACACCCTGGCTCGTTGTAAAATAGACTCCGCCGAAGGAGAAAAATTAAAGTGAGATTGGAAATGGAGCCCGTTCATGTAAATATCATATCGAAATTGTTCATGTTATCAGTTGTTTGTAGGCAGCCATTGAGAGCGTTCTTTTGATTCAAAATGAATTAGAGTTACCTCGTGAGTACAAAGACTCTTATCATATAGATCATCTAAAAATATCCATAATTTTTCTTGAAAATTGGAATTCTTGATTGATAGTCACTCCAAGGGAGCAAAGTTTGATATGTGAGAATGCTTTGGTTTTTGGTAAAAACAAAGGCAGAATATCTAAAGACGGGAACTTTTGCTTTATTTATTTTGAAAGGGGGAACTTTTGCCATATTAGTCCTTATTTAACATTACACGAGTAGTATTAGTATGTAGTATTACATTTGCCATAAAAAAAGACGTTTCGTTGCAAACAAAGGAATGAGACTATAAGAGTCGGGTCTAATTCTTTCTAGCTTCGCCAGTATTCATACGCCGGACTGCCAGAGCTACAACTTGAACTAGGAATACAATCAATACATATATTTATAGGTTTTTGTATTTGAAGATTAGATTGATACTACGTATAATAGTTCGATCACTTAAAGTTATCGGTGCTCCATCTCCTTCTATGTAGGCCTTGGCTCGGGCCGGATGGCCCGAACCGGCACTGTTCCGGCCCGGTGGCCCGGTCAGTGACCGGTTCGGGTAGGCCCGACCCGCTGGGGTTCCGGTCCGGGCTCGGGCCCCTCAAAACTTGAACCGGCCCAGCCGGTTTGGGCCCAGGACAGGTCATTTTATTATTATTTTTTTTTTTGAATTTGTTTTAAGTTTTTGGGTTGGGCTGGGTCATTTGAGGTGGTTTGGGATGGTTTGGGGTGGGGTGGGGTGGGGGGTAGGGGTTAATTAGGAAAAGACAAAAAAAATAGAATTGAACCGAAGCCCGGCCTGGCCCGGCCCGACCCGGACCCGGGGGTTACCCGTGCCGCTTCCGGGCCTCCCCTTTCCTGAACTGAGGCCCGGCCGGGCCCAGGCCCGAGTCCAGCCCTACTTCTATGACATGATACCAATTTTATGATGCTCCTATTTCCAAACTATATACGGTAGAAAAGCATCATTCTACCTTCTCAAAATCCCAAGTATTGCGTCAAAAGGAGATGAAAAAGGGTTAGAGATAGATGAATTAATAGGTAAGACCATGGTTGGCTAAGGTTAAATGAGGACGAGCGTATATAGAAACAGCCCGTCAGGCCGGAGGTGATATGATTAGTTTGGAGCTGAAATTAAAATTAGATGATTGAAATGAATCATATTAAAATTAAGTGACCAAATTGAAACTCCCTAAAAGCTAAGTGATCATCCAAATTTATATCCCTTACCATGACATTATATTGTAGTAACGATTAGTCACATTTGTGTAAATAAGTTTCACAACTAATTAAAATACTTATCTAGGTTACATCACTTACTAGGTACATACTCAATTTACAGTCACGTTCAAAGTGGCATTTTTTCCATATTCCGAAAGGCTGATGTTTCGTATAGGGAAGATCTAGGGTTGGTTTGCAACCGCTTTTAAAAAAGCACTTTTCAGCTTTTGGCTTTAAAAAGTACTTATTTTTCCAAACACTACAGCTTTTATTTTTCTCGGCTTCCGCGTCAAAAGTGCTTTTACTTTTTCTATTACACAAAAAGCACTTATTTTACCAAACACTACCCACTTTTACTTTTCAAAATCACTTTTTTCTCAAACACTATCAACTTTTATTTAATCACTTCTCCCCATTTCATTAAAAAAAGTACTTTTTAAAAGCAGTAGCTGTTGCAAACAGACCCCTAAAGATGTGTTTGGTAGGCTTTGTTGTTTCATTTTTTGGTTTAAGTTGGTTTTGGGTTAACCAATATTTTGGTTACAATATACGTAGTATATTGTAACCAAAATCTAGGGTTAACCTATCCTTGGTAAACCAAATTGTGGCTAACAATATATGCCCACCCCTTAATTACTGCATAGATCTTTACTCACAATGCAGTTCTCATCATTTACGAAATACCTCCAATCATCTTACTTTACAAATTATACGTAGAAAGAAGAGACTCAGAGACACCGAGTACATCATTGTAAATAATATTACATGAGCAACAAACATGAGATTAAAACAGGGCGGAGAAAGCACATCATATTTGGAATGCAACCTAATATCTTTTGTCAAAAATTAAAAAACAATATTTTTAATGTATATTTCATATTCAAAATAATTTCATTTGCTGCATAATAAGGCAAAGCGGGTGAAGATTGAGGGCCAACTAGCAGTCACCAATTCACCCCTTGGCATTAATGCTATTCCAGGAGCTGAAGTCTCGGAATGCCAAATTATCTGCCAAATTGTAACTGCCAGCAGGTTAGTGCTCTTCTTTATAGGTGTATGCTTATATTCATCCAAATGCATGTAGAACACAAAGTAACATGTAAGGATTCAGCCTCATGAGATATCATCCCAGCAAGATTATGAACAATAAAACTACCTCCATCCCTAAAAACGTTTTATAGATAAAGTTTGGACCATAATTTCCATTAGTATAAAGAGATAAGTTTTATAAATTTTATGATAGTATATTAACAAGAACATTATCATAATTTTTATATCATAAATTATGTTGTGTAAAATATACTTTGGAGTAGTATAATTGATCAAGGTTGAACATGTTCAAAATAGAATGA